GGTCAATCCTCGCACCCGTGGCCCACCAAGCCTTCCATTCCCCTTGGTCGGCAAATTGGTACCGGACTTGTCTGAGAGGATGCCAACACTGGGTCGATACATCGGTAGACCACCGCTAGTCATTCTAAAGGCCAGATATGCATTCAATCACCTCCAAACGTTGCTCAATAAGGTCACATGCATGGTGCATGCCTCAAAAATTGATCAACTCCGATAGCTTTATCTCTACCCTTTTAACAATCTTGCGCCAGCTTAATGAAATAAAAAAGTATTAACCAATTATGCCGAGTTTAAAGGAAAGTCAGCTTTTTAAATCATATCAAACCTATCTAATGTTGGATAGTGCTTTGGTAGTGATGCTGATCATCAAAGTGCTGGTTCGATCTCGCTTCGGTTCCGGGCTCACTAAGCCTCTCATTCCTTTGGTGCTAACAAACTGGTACTAAAATTGTTCAGGAAAAACCACTCCTCAGCATCCAAGCGGAAACGCTGTAGTCCGGCTATCTCAAGACTTGAGGAAAATCGACTCGTACGGCATTCGGCGACATTCAAGATGAAATGAAAGGCCTCAAGCAACAGCCGAAGCCCCGCGTAAAAACTTGGAAGACTATCGCGGATAAAGGATGCGACGAAACGAGTCGAATGTGAAAAGTGCTAGGATCAGCACAGTAGATGTGAAGGAGGGGTCGCATGAAATGAACAAGAATGAAAAAATGCACCTATCTGGACTCCAAAAGAATACAGTATTCCTTTTAAACGATCATCTAATAGACGGAAGAACGGCTCATGAGTAACGTCAGCTATCTGTATTCGCAGGTGGTACCGATTTTAAGATTACAGAGTGGACCGGGCAAAAGTCACCATGTTCGAAGTAGGCCACCACCATAGACGACGATTGCGCGAGGAGGAAGCGAATGGAAATTGTGCAAGGAAATCCACTACTCATGAAGGCGTTTCTTCTAAGAATTCAACTAGTATAACTATTCAGTGGCGAGAAACTAAGGGGTTAAAGTGCAGTATAAATACGCATGTACTTGCTTAAACCCTTGTGTGGCAAACCAGTGCCTAAATCACTCCAATATCGGAGAATTGTTAACAGATTTGGTTAGGAAACTTCGTCGGTTCCACTTGATCTATGTGTGCCGCATCACGATTTCTCCAAAAGTCCAGAAAGGATCGACCATAGAAAACAATAAAGATATATCTAACAGGGAGTGGGAAGCGCAGTGATAAGATGCGAAGTCTAATACACACATAGTAGCTCGTTACCCTCTACTGGTTAAGCCAGTTCCCCCATTCATCAGAGGGCAGGGAATTGCTACCAGACTAGTCTGAGAAGCTTTCTCGGAGCCACAAGATCTATGAACTCCCTTGCATAATTGTAGCTGGTTTCCAGAAAGATTCTACGCTGCCAACATTTGATAACATTCACGAAGAAAACGAAGTGTTTGAAGTGGCAGCTGAACCGACAGTAAATCATTGGTTATACAGGGATCCGCGCGGTAAGTAATGTAGGGTTGTGCAAAATAAAAAGGAAGTGAATAAGAATATACCTACTTTGAACAGCTCTGATGCTTTTCGTTCTTTAATGATGTCGGTCGCAGTTGTCCTCTTCCCCCAGCACGTGTTTCTCTGCGCTAAGATTTATTAAATTGCATCCCTAGGGTCAGAATGGAGTTTTTCAACAACTGCTCATAATTCTTCCACAACTAAAATGTAATAATGTAATAGAAATACCTAACACAGTTATAGAAACTACTCTGCTTTATTTATCTTAGGCTGGTTTTAAAAGATGCCACTTTATTCCTAAAGTTTCTGCAAAATAACAACTTCGAAAAAAAATCGAAGTGAAGTTCAATATCTTAAATATTTTTCACAATTCCAACGTCAACAGAAAAGAAAAAAAACCCGTTTCGTTGACTTCAGAATATCACAGTTTATCGCCGATAACGATTCGATTTCCACACCCTTGGCTCAACAAGCCTTCCATTCCTCCGACGTCGTCAAATTGGTACCAGACTTGTGCAGGAAGATAGCGGTACTGGCTTGGTGCATCGCTAGCCACTGCGAGTCATTTTAAAGGCCAGATATGCATTCAATCACCTCCAACGATGCTCAAAGAAGTCGAATGCACGACGCATCCCTAAGGTGAGCTGAGAGCTTTAGAGGCTTTATCGTCGACATAATAAAGAATAGATCCTTTCGAGAAAGAACTATGCTTTTTTTCTAAGGGCTCCTAATGCAATTAGCAAGTTTCATTATGAACTGATACATGTTGGTTTAAAGTTGAAGGCGACCGCTATCTTCGCGGCCTATGAGTGGAAATCAATTCACATCGGAATTTAAGTGTTTATGTACCAACAAAGCGAAAATATTTAAAAACATCAATCCTTGTTTCGCAACACCGTATTATCTCTTCCATAGAACGTTTTGTAAAAAGGCTGTTTACAAAATGATGTCCATAATCACATGTTCTAGTGCAACAATTGATGAAGAGATAAGAGTTTTCTTCAGCTCATAATGGAGAAGAATCTATTGACTAAGAGGAAGATGACTATCAGAGCATCTATGACGGCGTTCGTTTCTATTGAGCCTACTTCCATCAGATTAATGAGCAGTAAGGAGAACGAAGGGCACGTGTGACCGCAGTGGTCGGAGGGGCCCTGCAACACACAAGGCCACCGTGAGTTATTGTAAAGGCCAGATATGCATTCAAGCACCTCCAAAGTATGCTTAATGAAGTCGAATGCAAGGCGCATCCCTCAAGGATTAATCAAAGCCAAGAGCTTTTTTTATCCTTTTAAGGAAAACGGTATTTTACATCATTTTGGTGATGTGGATCCAACCGCCAGCGCTGAATTCCTCTGGAGAATCACGTGGTCATATGTTGGCCGGGTTTACTCATACACATAGCGATCAAATGTTCTTCGTGCTGGCATAAATTTTTCCCAGAATTACACCAGTGAACAATTAATTTGTTGGCACAAAATGGACGTCATAATCAGATACACTTTCGTTATCGTTCAAAACGACGATTTCCGACTCTCCACTGGATGGATCTCTGTCAGATTCTGTCAACTACGCTAAGAAAAGCCGGTACGAGCCAATATCTGCAAGACGGTGGCCAGGACGCTTCAGGTGTCATCGCAGATATCGTCGCAGTACTCTTTCGTCGTACGTCTCTTTGTCAGCAATTGTATGCAATTCTGTGATGGAGAAATGAAAGAATGACATGTCTATTCTGCATAAGCCATTAGGTTGGCAGGTGGACGTAGTGTAATGATGCTATCACCTGATATCTGGTAAGTGATGTTGTACAATTTTTGGCAACTAACTCCTATTTTTTTCACTGTCCTTGGAAATGATAGCACGACGTTTGCTCAGCTTTAGTGAATTTCTTTCCTGGATTGTGGGACTATCCACAAAAGCCTACGTCGGTAGTATATCGCCTAACGTCATGGCGAGAAAGTGTCAGACCCAGATTTGAAAGATTCAACCAAATGGGGAAAAAGTTGGATATTTTTCTCCTCAGAAGACCAAATATGGGTGCAGCTACATTAGAAACTGTCGTTGTCAGCGAAAACAACCCAGCTACAGAGTAGTAAATTTACCTCCCATGCCCAAAAATTGGTAAATGCCTTTCATAACGATCTCGAAATCTCCTACAAAAGGTGCAATGAGGGAGCGAAAAAAGTTTTGTCCAAGCACCCAAATCCCTGAAAGTTCCGGAATGTGCAGGCAGTCCTGTAAAGGCGGTGGCACTAACACATTCAGGTTTGCAGGAGCAGAGGTCATTCTGAATAGAATATTGAATATTCCGACGATTTTTGTCACTGAGGACTAGATAGCACAGTCACTGAGGTTAAGCAAGAAATTTCTTTATTAGTATATTAGCTGATAACCGCTAGGAATAGAACAATATTTCATTCCAACTAATATACCACCAGTACCGTGTCCTACCACTCTATTTTTGTTCCTGATATTTGACAGAGAATTAAGGATATTTATAAAAAAAATCACTACCTTCACTAATATTACGCATATGATGATAAATAGTATCAGAACAAAACTTTAATCTAAACTCTTATCTAAACTTTCATTATTGATTAAATCGTCACTTAAATGGAAAGTTCCGGCAAAAGATTGATTGCCTACTTATTGTAATGGAGTGCGGGCTTTCTTTCCAGTTCGTCTGTCTCGAGAACGCATCCAACATGGATTCGTTTATTTTTCACGAAATATACTGCAACGGCTTATTTAAGAAAAGAATAAAGAAGTGAATGATGGATGTTAGTAATTACGAATGTCAGCAACTTCAACGGCTATGAACGAATTCCTAACTTCCCCATTTGAATACAACAAAGGAGGTGACTAGATGCAGATGCTAGTGCAATGAATGGCTGAGGAATCCGCCGAATGGTTACATTATCGGCGCTACCGTATCCGTCGAGTAGTGGGAGCAAACTGAGGGAAATGAGCGGTTGGCAGTGTAAAGCACCTGTGCCAGTGCCGTCAAGTTGCACAGGTGAGTGCGAAAGAGATTACTTGATCACTACGAGGTCGTCGACGTGCACTCTCGACCTCCACATCAACCGAATCTCAGTCGCCTTTGTCCACTATGACGTCGATACGCAGGAGGTCTATTTTTGAAAGTGAGTATTCGAACATATTTACACCATTTGTTAGCATATCACTTTGGTGTGCAGATTTGTTTTTTATTTCAAGCCAAAGGATACAGTTTTATTGCAAAGAAAGAAAACCTTTATGCTAACATAGGTACTGCAAGCACGGCCCATTGTTAGCGTTGGAATGACTGTTCTTGTGAGAATTGGTTATGATAAGAGTAGATAAGAACAGAGTGGTTTGGTTCGCACTGAGGACTGAAGAAAAGAGGAAGTGTTTGTATCGACCGCTCGTATGAGCATGAATGGCATTTCCTACTTCATCACATCTTGGTGAATTTTCGTTTGAACTATGAGAACAGAGATACATCCTAGGCGCTTCTGGTTACTGTAGAAGAATATCGTTCGTTTACAGATATCGATGATCTCATCTCACCAGACACATCTGAAGCGTCAGTAGCAATGGATAGAATGCAGGTTATATAAATCGACGTTTCAATAGATAGCACAAGAATTTAAACTTAGAGTTTCCCAGGACAATAATAAGAGTGTTATATGCCAAAAAGATAAAGTCTTTGTTTATTGAAGTGGAATTTTACGATCGTCGATATTGTGAATGAACTGTTCTAGTAAGTCATCGTTGATCTGAAAAGTCGAAGAAAACCGTTCAGTACTTGGTTGGTTCTAAACGTGAGGATTAGCCTAGAACGGTTTAAGTACTTTAGCAATTTACCTTTAAAAAAAATTTTAACTTTAAAAAATTCACGAAAGCGCTGAGAATTCTATTAGTTTTAGTTGTCTTCAAAACTAACGGTCCTCTTGACAGATAGAAACCTCGCAGAGCTTTGCAAAAAAGAGCTCTTTAGCCAAAATCTTAAGCATATAAGCGCTCATTCAATAGATCTTTAAATAAAATGCATTTGCAGTGCCCGCTTTGCTCGAAGTCCTATTTGACGTTCTTCGGCCTTCGTCGGCACATTCAGTGCCACCAAGATGGGCGAGTCGATCAGATATGTACCCACTGCAAGAAACATTACAAGTAAGTCTTGAGTGATGTCGCAAACACCATTGCCATAATTGTTTAGTACTCATCGTTAACGATTAGGAATCGGCAATATACTGCTCACACACAACTAGTAAGCAGGGCCATTCAAATACTGTCCAATCGCTGTGAACACATACATAATGAGAACGTGACTGTGACCAGCTATCATTGTGACCGGTACGGCTGAAAGAAAAACGTAATCCTAGGGCTGCGTCATTTGACCATAACACCGTACCAGGCATAACTTCTGGATTCCATTAAAGTTTCTCCACTTAAGAACCAACTACTGATTACCGAAGAACTGAGCTCGGTTCGGCGGCAATATTTTGATGGGCACGGGACACACCTGCGCGCACCTGTTCGATTGGGTGTTACAAACGCAAAGAAAACCGGAAAGTCGTGAAACAGGTGGCTTTAGTGGAGAGGTTCGATCAGATTAGAGATTTGCCTACAGTGTGACGAGTACGAACAAAAGACACTCAGTGCTATTGTTCTGAAGCATCTGGAAATCTTGGAAATCTGATAAAAGTGTGCTTACACTGAGGAATAGGTGAAGTTATAGTTACTCAGTCTTCTCAAGCTCGTCATCGGTGTAGTAAACTTAGGCATAGTAGACTAAACCGTGAATCTACTCAGTTTTGAAAAACAGAGGAAACAAAGTTGATAATCTTCTTATGAATGTACTGAAGACCTCAGAACAGACAATTGAATATAAATTTTTTTATTCGACCCATGTTCATATTATGCGGAACCCAGCACTTCTTACGTTCGATTTGTTTCCACGCATCCATTGCCCACAAAGATCTTCCAACTTTTAAGTGTGGCTTCGGTTGTTATTTGAGGGTTTTCACTTCATCTTGAATATCGTGGAATGCTGCTGGTCGAGCAATTCTCCCTGTAGTCCTGAGATAGCCGGGCTGGAGCGTTGCCAATTGGATCGCAGAGAGTGGCTTTTTCTCAGACAAGTCTGGTACCAATTTCCCGACCCCGAACGAATGAGAGGCTTGGTTGACCCGAAGTGGAATCGAACTAGCACCATGATAAATGGATATAGGAAGAAAAACAAGTACTCAAACTATTAAAGACAAGATATTCGTGAAAATTTCGTTTAGGTCTTCAGGAGCTCTAAAAATGCATCTGAAGACGCATTCATTGCCGTGCGTTTGTGAGCAGTGCGGAAAAAGTTTCAGTCGCCCATGGTTATTAAAAGGTCATCAAAGGACCCATACAGGTCTTTCGTTTTTTCTTTTTTTATTTGCCATCTCCAGCTAATTTCATAACATAAAATCCTAAATTTAGGAGAAAAACCCTACGTGTGTTCGTTTTGTGGCCGTAGTTTTGCTGATCGAAGCAATCTTCGAGCTCATGAGCAAACCCATTTTCCTCAAAGAAAATACAGGTGCGGTGGGGTTATCTTCGCTTGAAGGATTTTCTTATGAGAGTCTAATATGGAAACTCCATTGCTATAAATTTACAGTTCCGTCTTTTTTTCTCTTATAAATTTCTCTGTGCCACTGTAGCCACTTTTTTCTCAAACCTATTTTTTTCGCTGCTTCCTCTAAGTTTACTAATGATTGCCGCCTCTCTGACACTAACGACTGAAAAAGAGCTCGTTACTATACGAACTTATCTTTCTACTTCTGTTCAGCAAACACCTCGTATTTGCTGAACAGAAGTAGAAAGATATATTCAATCAATGCCGAGGTTAATAGAAAGTCGGACTTGGGATTATTTTATTTCACTCGTCTTCGCGTCCACTGTACGGATCCCAGCACTTCTCACATTCGATTCGTTTCCTCGCATCCACTGTTCTCGAAGATCTTCCATGGCTTCGATTGCTGCTTGAGGATTTTAATTTCATCTTGAATGTCGTAGAATAGTGATCGAGTAATTCTCCTTTTAGTCCTGAGATAGTCGATAATTTTTTCTCAGACAACACCGCTACCAATCTCCCGACTTCGGTGGGATAAGAGGCTTGGCTGGCCCGAAGCGGAATCGAACTAGCATCATGCTCTTGACATGAATATTGGATATGAACTAAATCACAAAGTCATTTGGAAACTATTATGGGAGACAATATATAATGCGAAATTTTCCTTCTTTTAAAAATTATGACATGACCTGACATCACAAACGTCACGCCATGCGGATCCCAGCAATTCTTCCATTCAGTTCTCTCTCTCTTCCACATTCACGATGGTCTGCAACGTTTTCGAGCGTGCGTTCGGTTGTTGCTGGAGAATTTTCGCCTTCTTCATGAATGTTGCTCAAGTCTGGTCAAGTCGATTCTCACTGGAGTTCTGGAATAGCAGCGCTACGGTGTTTCTATGTGGACTGAAGGAAATAATGTTGCCGCAGACAAGTCTAGCACAAAATTCTCGAATACAGCGAAATAAGAGACATGATGGTTCCAGTGCGGGTCAAACAAGCGCTGAGTAAGTTGGGCCGTACATGTAATGAACGGCATCACTATCACTGCACCGCACACTCCTTTATTTCTTCATGGTGATAGTGACATTAGATTTCAGCAAGCAGAGTGACTTGACCATCACTTCTTGTCCAAATAACTCGTAAGCAGTTAACAGTGTCTAAGAATGTTTTGCAAAAATTGGAAACGATTAGATAGTTCCTATATCACAAATCAGAGATTGATAGCAAAATGGTCACTTAATCTAAGCTTCAACTACAACATCCCACCTTTCCCATATATCACAAAATAAGAAGACTTTGTTACTAGGCTGCATTAAATTCGGAAAGAATTACACTATTTCGTCCGATTCTTGACTAAACAACACTTCAGTTCTTTTGTACTCTCCCGACGTTCTGGTTGAATTGACTGAAAAAGGTCTAACACAGAAGCGACATCCAAATATTTTACGTCTTTATGGAGCTGGTAGCTGTTCTTAGATGACGAAATGTGATTTATGGCAATGGCTTCCCTCCAGAAGGCAATCGCAGGCTGAAAATTTTCATATTTCCATCAGGAAGTCTGCTTAAAAGTAAACATCCGTTAACCGAAGTCTGGCAGGCAATTTACTCTCTCTCTCTCTCTTCGCAAAAACGCTAGAAAAGAGAATCATACCAGAGGCGTGATTTTCGTCGTTTTTCTTCACTGAAGTCATGGACGTATGGAACTTAGTGGTTCCAACTCTATAGTTCGATGATCAATGTGATCACGGAGGACAATTAAATATATATCCAGCATTGGTGTTACCACCTCCAAATCCATCACTACTTTCGCCATCGTTTCTTGGAATTTAATTGATCATCGAGTGATCCCAGCAGGAACCAGTGGTGTTCTAATTAATTCCTGCCTTGCTGCGCAGATGTGAAGTATGGTTCGAAAAAGAAGATAAGTATCACACTGCGTTTAAGGTCCTTTTCTTTTGCTGTCACTTTAATGAGAGTAGATACAAAGGGCCTTTTGGAATATGCCGGAATAGAGATGGTGCTAGATGTGATCTCGGTCTGTCTGTTTCAAAGTGACGAATCATTCATTCAGTTGCTAGTTCTAGATATAATCAACATCTAGAACCATGTCTGAGAGGGCTGCACCATAACTAAATACTAAGCACCAACGGTAGTCCACTCAATAAATTGATGCCTGCGTGGTTAAGTGTCACATCATACATGGTAAATTTTAGTCCACGTATAGCCCAGTGTTAGCTGCACTGGAAAGTGCTTCGACTTGCCCGCTCATGATCGCTCACATGAGGGCAGCCGTGGTGAAAAATAAGAAACCATACCACTACAAATCACTAAATGGAATACTGTAATCATGTCTTTTAATTCATGACATCTCCTACTGTCGAGGATTAGTAACTTCACATATTATGTTTTTGAAAGTGATGAGCAAAAATACAGGAAAAGTTTCCAGATGTGACCGCTGTGATTTATCGTTCGCTAGGATGCAAGTATTGGAGAAGCATAAGACTGTCTGTCTACCTAAGCTTCATAATGTCAACGGATCATAAAGGCTTCAACTATTTCCATCTAAAATTATTAACACCTTAGTGACATGTCACAATTTTAATCTGATAATAAAACATATTTAACCCTGCTTTTTTTTGCTCCACAAAAACTCTACAGTTGGGATAACCTCTGCTTTCATGTTCAATACAACCGCTCCAAAATATTTTATAACCTCGCCAGGGTTTAACCGCCAGACATAATATAACAGTAATAAGATATAATAAAGCAAACTTAGAGCATATTAATGTGATGGGGGTCCTTATCACAACGAATGATCAACCGTTGGATATCATTGCTTTAGAAAGCAACATGAAGGGAAGCTTACACAAACGAAGTGATATCTAGAGCTACTTCACTAATGGCACGATTATAGAGGCAAGAGCTTAACACATTAGTACCGTTATAGAAAAGCCACTTCTGGGAAAGATTCATTCTTGTCTGATTGCTTAGTACTGCTTAATCAGCTCTAACGTGTCTATCAGACCTATCATTGTTTGTCCACGTGTTTATAAAGAAGGCTATCATAGTGAGCCTCATTTCTTTCAATAAACTCTTCAATTCTACTCACACATGAAACCTGAGAATGATGAAGAACTAGCTGTTCCAGAAAGGGAAAGTGCCGAAAAACGGGTAGGCACACAAAGATTTAAACGGAAAAAAGTTCCATATTCTAAAGTTTTCTAACAATCTAGAAAAAGGAAAGCAAAAGAAAGAAATCAAAAACCGGAAAGAAAAGGTGTCCGTTGTCATGTACTCGAAGAAAAAAAGGAGGAGAATCGACGTCGAGGAAGCGTAAAGGAAAGAAAAAAGGAAAGGTAGCAGAAGTCAATCATTTCTCTCAGATATATGTAAAAAAAGTCAACAGATTGCAGATTACCACATCAGATAAGAGCAGCACAAAAAAAGAGATCAGAAAGGTAAAACAAGCCATGAAGCTAGGGAGTGCAAGCAAGAGAAAGCGCAGGAGCAAGAGCAAGAGCAGGAAGAAGAGAAGAAGCAAAAGCAAGAGCAAGAGCAAGAGTGGAAGCCGCAGTAGAAACAAGAGCAAAAGCAGAAGCACGAACAAGAGTAGGAGCAGGAGCGTGAGCAAAAAGAAAGGAAAAGGGAATAGTGCCACAAAGCAACGGAATCTCCTAGAAAACCGCCAGCACCTCATGAAGTCACAAAGTTTGTCGGCAAGTCAACCGGTTTCAGAGAAAGCTTTGGCAAAATCGACTTCTGTCACTGACTCTGCAAGAGCAAACACACAGCCATCAATCAAGTCGACACCACAATCGCCGGTAGAGAAGGTAAATCATTCATGCTTTAGGCTTATCTAGTCTAGTCTAAATAAAGCTACTTGCGTAGGATTACCATCCTAGCTATCAATTTCCTATGATAGCTATGTAGTATCCTACTGGATGCCTTTTTGCTCATGAATATCCCCATAAACGCCTGGATATTCCAATAAAAAACACTTGGATGATTAAACCTAAAATTGTGTCAGAAAGTTGAGGTAAGCATAATTACAAGTTGAAAAGGCACCAAGCATTTCACAAAGGCATGGTACTTTCCTACTAGCCTACTTCCTATTACTCTAACACTAGGGTTACGCTCTTAGTGCAGCACTAAACAGTCAGAAACCACCGTCTAGCAGGAGCGACACCTAGCGATAACTGGTGACGAAGTGAAATGGAAAACCGACAGCTTCAGCAGTCTTGACAAAGTAAAAACGGAGGAAAAAAAAACTTTTTGTGCTACTTAGGTACTGGCTTGAATACAAAGTAGCACCTTAGTTCTAGCTTTTCTGCTCTTAGAAATGACCCCCGTATTAGAACTTCATCTCACCAAAGTAGTCATCATGTTCTTTTATTGGTTGAGTTCAACTTCAGAGCTAGGAAAAACTAGAAGCGCAATATCCAAATCGAACTCAGACGACCAGGCAAATGTTAACGAACAGTCGAGAGTACGTGCTCGTGAGCACAAAGAGGTTTTGAATTGGTGCCAGTTTCAACCCAGCTGCTGCACAACAACAGATCACAAAAGACCACATCGAGCCGGTGTCACCATAAAAACAGATGACAACGCGCTTGCGTCTTCACTTCCTGTTAGAGCGACGGTTGATCTCTGGACAACGAAAACATATGCATTAGGGAGTACAATCACTCGTCTACTATTTCCGCCCTTCTGGAGCTTCTCCTCGTCATTTTCAATACCAGCAATTAGGAGACTAATGCTCTCACAGCTCGTTTCTCGTCCTTCGGCTCTGTACACTGGACCACCATTTTGAAGTGCGCAAGAGCATACGGGCTTTTCAGATAGCTTCTCCGGCTGTTTTTCTGCAATCGCTTCTAAGTGACTTGGCAGCGATTCATTCCTGTTGCAAAGTTCGTCAGCGCTAGTAGTAATGCGAACCACTTATTTCAAAGCTTGTGTGTTACCGACGACGGTTAACAAAGATCATTTTACATAC